TGGCGCGCTGTGAGGATAATTACAATTTAGGCTATTAGTTTAGGCTACTCCTCATTGAGAATGTTTTTTAAAAGTTTTTTTTAAACAGGTTTAATAATTTATATAATGAATTATAGGCCTATAATTAAAATTCTTGCACTGCAGTCATCAGTGAAAATTAAGAGCAGCTTTCGTGCACCGATTTTCAAAAACAACCTGTTTAACGCGAAATATGTTTCTTCTCATGTTTTTCACTATATGGGCCACAAGAGAAATATTAGGGAATAATTTAAGACAGTTATATACCGTTATCACCATATGTTGAAGTAGTTTCGTCTCTCGTTGTCTCTCAGAGAATATGCGTCGTTAATGCAGCGTTAGAAAGCTCTGTCAGTTTTTTTTACTTTCACCGGCATAACTCTTGCGCACAGTTTGCGCATTGCTTGCTTGTGTTACTTGACCCCTCCCCCATAATATAAATAGTTAACAGGCCACATATTAGGAACTTTTTTAGGTTTTTAATCGTTGTTTTTCAGTGTTAATGAAAGTGACACCAAAAAAACAGGAGGGGGGTCCCGAAATGGGATAATGTCTTATTTCCTATAAACATCTATTATTCTGTAGCTACATCATTTTTTTGAGGTTTTGAACTTAAGCTAAAAACTCATCCACACTCTGCTGTCTTTCTTGTGTGACACCGATGTTGTAGTTGAAGGAAGATAGTTCCAGCTGCATTTGTATGAAAGTCCTCAGTGTGATATGAGCGACAGGAAAGTAGCACTGGTGTCATAAACAAATGGGTCCGCCTAGGATAGCCCTTTGTAGTAGTAGTAACACTTCAGGCCATGATAGTAGGTCACCTATCACTGAGTGATAGTCAGTTCAGTTCTCTGCAAGTGCCGCACAAGTCCTGAAAAGTGAAGCCAAAATGTTTCAATCACCCCCAGGTTGCTGGCTGTAGTACAGGTCATAAACCTTAACCTCTCCATGTAAACAAATGGGACATGAGCCAAACTAAAAATCAAGTTACACTTAAAATATTTTTATCCCAAAGATGGTTTCTGTCATTTTACGTAGTTCTTATCGCACTGATGAATGTTCAAGGCAAGAGTCCTGCTCATCATTAAAAACTAATAAGATGGTCTAGTAAGTGCACAAGGCTACATCATAAATGTTTATGCCCTCATGGCAGGAAAATACTAGTGGAAGAGAGTAGAGATGTGTCATCAATCTATTTTTTTTTTTTTTTTACAGTCTATGGTTTTCTGTTCCAGTGTGTTAGCATTGCTATTGTATTAACAAGTGATCTTTTTCAGGGTAAATATTACAAATGTGATTTTTTTTAATTAATTGCATGTTTTTATCAAAAGATCAAAGACAATATTAGATTTATTAAGCAGGCAGGCTATACTACACTATGCTGATCAGATAAGAACATGGAATGTTTATTTTTACAATGTATGGCTTTGAATATTTAACATTATTAGTAATATTTCATTTATAATTTACATTAATTTACATAATTCAATTTAAGACTACATTTCATAAATATTTTAGCCATATTTAAGCCCATTTGTTCATGACACCAGTGGTAGTTACCCAGATGATATACAATATTGCCATGGACGACTGTACCAGAGGGGTTCTGACATATAAGTAAATGTTTGATCACCGAGCAGGATTTAAAACGGCGATGGGAGGCAAGCACACTGACAAGGACGCTAAAGACCGCAGCCTCTAGCATCAGTCGGTAGTGCATCTCTTAAGAACAGTGGAGTGAGGTTTACTCACACAACTCTTACCAGCTGGCCTCCATTACAAATTGATGATCAGAATAAAGTATTCTAGTTGTGTAATAAAATGAATTGATGATATGTATACTTTGTATGCATACTTTGTAAATGATATGTATACTTTGAAAAAAAAAATCATCTTTACATCATCAGCATAGTACCCACTCACCTCGCAATGCCTTGAATATTTTTTGCACTTAATTAGTTTGTCCACAATGCACTAACACTGACCCAGTCCACTATTTCAGATTTTAAACAGGAGGTGGAATGACAATAGGCACCTGCGTTGACGAGCGCTTGTGTGACTGGGTAAAAAGATACCCACAACTCAGTTTAAACAAATACAAAGACATTTTTTATTGGTCATAACGTCTGGAAAGAAATAGCACAGACACTTGACAAATATTAAATTTCCTACTGCATGTGTTAAATGCTGTGCATCCATACACTCTATCAAATGGAGTATACGTTGAAAGGATGTGCATTCAGCTGTACGCATCTGCATCAAACATTTGCATCAAAACTGAAGTATACTTTGGGTTTTAGTATGGTCATTTGCATGACACCCTACCACAAACACGATATATATAAGTTTACATGTTAAGTGTTAAATGATAATCCTGAAATTAATTCAAATTGAAGTAATTCTACATACCTGTATATTTGTATCAGCATAGTTAAAACGTTTCAAAGTGAATAGTGTTTTTACATTCAGGTGAACCACAGAGCGGAGAAGAAAAAGAGGAGAAGGTTGAGCCACTTGAGGAAACGGAAGAAGATACAACCCCTAGATCAGCTGTAATTGAAAACATCCAAAACAGTGGTCAAGAGTTTCTGACAATGCTGGTGGAAAATATCCTGAAAGGATCTTCTGCTGAGTCAAAAGACTTCAACATCGAAATAATACCAGAGAGTAACTGTGCTGTGGTGGCATTTTCCAATAGCAAGTGTAAGTCATGGGTTGTATCCCACAACACAATGTACTCTTCAGATGTGCATGCAAAATTCTAGCCTTTTACTAAGGTCTTAGTGGTGATCACCGTGCTCTTGTTTCCTGTTACTTATATTTCATTCCATAGATGCAGAACATTTCTTTGTATCCTCTCCAAGCAATGGAATAATTAAGAAGAAAAACATTAAAGTCCGATTGCTTGAGATGACTTCAAAAGTGAAAGCTGAAGGCTTACCTCCAAACTCAAACTCTGACTTAGTCATGCTGTATTTTGACAAATTTGGAGAAGTAGAGGATGATGGGGTAACAGTTGAAACAGATCAGTCAGCAATAATAACTTTTACAAATCTTGAAGGTACATGAAGTAGTAACATTTGATTTATTAGTTGAATTTCATTTTGACAAATGCATAAACTAAACAATGTGTGCTTTTTCAGATGTGCAAAGAGTCCTCAAAGAGCAACATCAGCTTAAAAAGCAGCCTTTCAGAGTACTGCCATACTATGAAACACTACAAACAGCTCTATATGGTAAAGACAGACCCACCCTGAGACTTCCAGAGGCATTCATTGAGAAGATTGATAGAGCTGTATGGCACCACTTAAAGGAAAACCAAAAATCTATGGATTCAATCAAGCAAGCTATGTCCAGTCATTTTTGTGAGATGGATTTTCAGTCCTCAGCAGTGAAGATCAGTCCTTCTCAATCCCTACTTAACAATGGTGTGCAGACAAGAAAACTCATTCAGACATGGAGAGAAAATGTCCTCTCTGTGTTTTTATCATTAACATCTGAGTTTAAATCCACTGAGTTCTGCATTCAGAAGGATGCGTGGACAGAGATACAACCTGAAATCCAAAAAGCAGTAGTGGGAGAGGCTGTCACACTGGTTCCCAATGTGGATGAAGGAACAATAACTGTAGCCGGCCTGAAAGAAGATATGAACAGGATTGGGGGAATTCTGACAGAAACTGTTGAGAGAGTCACCCAAAGAATCCAAAGGGAGAAGGGCAGTGAGACGGGTGAAACCAGTATGACTCCATCCATTTACAATCTCGTTCTCCGTGATGGTTTGGAGCAGCAAATCTGTGACAAATTTCCAGAAATGAACATCACATACCATGTGCACAGCCGAAAGTTAACTTTCTACGGTCTGAAACATGAGGTGCTGGAAACAAAGAATAAGATACTGCAGGCTGTTCTTAATTTGATTCATAAACCAATTGAGCTCCACCAATCTGTTTTAGATTTTCTGCTCACCAAGGATGTAGAGGAAATGACCGACAATTTGTTTTTAAACAAAGGAATCAATGTGGCATTAGAAGCTGATGGAAAGAGAGTTTTGCTTGTTGGGAAAACAGACAATGCCTTGAGTGTTGGTGAGAAGCAATTGCAGACAGATCTGGGTCATCTGAGCTTCAGTGTAGAAGATCCCAGTGTTCTAGGAAGATCAGACTGGCATGACCTAGTCTCTCACATAAAAAACACTGTCACAAATGTCACAGTACAGACAACTGTCAACCAGGTGGTGGTTTCTGGCTTTGTAGATTCCATTACCGATGTTGAACAAGAGTTACATAACTTTGTTCAGGAAAACTCTCAATTTGAGAAAACTCTGAAGTCTCACAAGACTGTTGTCACATTCATAAAGAATCATAAAAAGCAGGATTGGTTTGAAGAGGTGAAAGGTAATGTGAATGTGGACTTCAAAGGTGAAGACATTGTGATCAGTGGCTCAAGGCTTCATGTCTCTAAGTGTGTGCTTCTGTTTGAGGACTTGCTTAGATCTGTGCATAACTGCACCATGAAAATAGTTAAACCAGGGGCAAAGAAGTTTTTCAAGGAGAAAGAGTTAATGTGTGTTACATATGTCCAGACAAATATGAATTGTTTGGTTCAGTTACTAGATGAGTATGACCACCCACATGACACAGTTCAATCACTGATAATAAAACCTGTTTATCATTATAAAACACATGAAGGAATGGAGATTACAGTAAACAAAGCTGACATGTGCTCGTTTCAAGTGGATGCAGTGGTCGGTGGATGCAAAGAGAACCTCCTACTGGATGGAGGTTTAGTCAAGGTCCTCTCAGATGCTGCTGGTCCTAAACTTCAGAATGACTGCAACCAGACTGTCAAAAAACGGAAGTTGACAACAGGTGATGCTGTTCTCCTCGATGCAGGAGGGCGGCTGCGATGCAAACATGTCATCTTAGCAATAGGACCTAATTATAATATTTACAAACCTCAGGAGTCTGAAAAGCTCCTGAAAAAAACTGTGAAAAAGAGTCTGAATTTGGCAGATCAAGAAAGCTTCCAGTCTTTGGCAATCCCAGCCATTAGCTCTGGTGTATCTGGTGGTGGTTTCCCACTGGACCTTTGTGCAGACACCATTGTGAAAGCTATAAAAGAGTTCTGTGATTTTGTTGAAGAGGACAATACACTGAAGAAGATTCACCTAGTTGACAATAATGATAAGACAGTTCAAGCTTTAGAAGCAGCAGTGAAGAAGATTTATGGGGTCAGTGCGCTTACCCACAGCATGGCATCTGGAAGCAGTTCAAGCAGCCAGCAGCAAAACCAAAACCAAGCAAGTTCTTCTCCAAGCCAACACCAGACTGCCACACTCTTTCAAGGAGCATCACAAAGTTTTCAGACAAAAGAAGGTTTAACCATCACCCTTATGAAAGGAAACATTGAGGACACAACAGTGAGTTCAGTATTATTACACATAATTGTATTTGGTGTCTTACTTTTTGCCGAAACTCATTTTCTATTTGAAATGCCAAAATGTCCTTGAGAGAGATGTACTTGAGAGGGTTTTATTTATGTTTGTTTTCCTCCAAAAGTTTCAAAGGGCCCTCCGCCTTTTTCATTTTTTTTGTTAATTTTGAAGTAGAATGTCGGAACATGATTTGAGCTGACTATGCATCTGTAAATATCTGCTTTTTTGTGCAGATGGACGTCGTTGTGAACACTCTCAGCAGTGACCTAAATCTCAGCGTGGGAGCCATTTCAAATGCCCTTCTCAAAGCAGCTGGTCCTCAGCTTCAGGTTCTGCTCAATCAGCAAGTCACTGGCTCTGCCAATATTGGAGCAGTCTTTGAAACAGCAGGTGCAAACCTGAAGAACAAACTGGTGTTCCATGCTGTTGTGCCACACTGGAATCAGGGACAAGGAAATGAGCAGAAGGTAATACTCATTGATTGATTTTTGGTGATTAGTAGTTTAAAAATCTGTTTTATATAAATGTTTTTATTCGGTTTGAGCAGGTGCTGGAGGATATCATGGATAAGTGTTTGAGTCTGGCAGAGCAACGTCAGCAGAGCTCCATTTTATTCTCTGCCATTGGCACAGGAAACCTGGGGTTTCCAAAGCCACTGGTGGTCTGCACTATGCTGGACTCAGCCTTCAAGTTTAGCAGTAAAAGAAGTTCAAAGCATGTGAAGGACGTGGTATTTGTTCTTCACCCCAAAGATACACAAACCATTCAGGTACAAGATGTATGATGTCATATCAGTCTTTTTTTAGATCCATGTGGAATTCCACATCTGCAGATTTTTGACACTTAGTACAATAATAATTAGTTATTTTCACTTCACTAATACTATATGTCACCCACAACAGGTATTCACAGATGAGTTTACCAAAAGGTTTTTGGGCCAGTCTGCCTCAGCAAGTAACCCCACACAGCCGCAGAGCACAGGTGCCCAAAACGTCACTTTTTCTTATCCAACCATTTTTGCAATCACTTATAACTAACTGATCTCACTGTCGTTTTTAGTGGATGAATGAAGTCAGTCAGTTCCCCCTGATTATGATACATTTCCTTAATGTTTATTTAGTTCTGTTGTATTTTACAATGAAATTACAGGCCCCTTCTCAAAGGTCATAACAAAATCTGGGATTCACGAGACTACTGTGGGAGGAGTAACACTTCAGGTCCTGAATGGTGATATTACTTTAGAGAAAACTGATGTCATTGTCAATTCCAGCAATAAAGAGTTTACACTGAAAGCAGGTAAAGTTACTAATTCTGAATTAGTAGAAGACTAATTTTTGTACTCATGACTTTGCCTAGAATTGCTTGCTGCTTCATTTTATAAGATAGGAATAATTTGAGTTGAAACAGAGAAAATAAACTCATTTTATCTCAAATGGTTAAGGTGTCTCAAAGGCTATTTTGGATAAGGCTGGTCCAAATGTAGAAGCTGAGTGCCAGCAACTCGGTGAGAAGCATGTTTTCATTCCTTGACTAAAATATTTAATAAGAATGAAAAAAGAATTAAATATTAATTAATCATTTAATAATCTTTTCACATGCTCTAAAACTTTAGCACATGTCTTATAATTCTAGTTCATGTGTGTTGCCAGGGGCCCAGGATAAAAGTGGACTCATAATGACTCAAGCGGGGAATTTACAGTGTAAAAAGATCATCCACATTTCAGTACAAAGCAATGCTGGTATGATCCAAAGCCATGTTAAAAAGGCACTGGAAATGTGTGCCAAGGAAAAGTTAACCTCCATTGCATTCCCAGCTATTGGTACAGGTGAGAACAAACTCAACAAGACAAAAAAGAAAGAAAGAAACGGGATAGTGTTGTCAATCTTTATGTTAAAAAAAGACTGTCTTTACATATAAAGAGAAAATATATGAATGCAATTTGTAGTAATGTTAGTTTTTTTGTTCATTTGTTTTTCCTTCTGGAGCATCAGCGAGTATTTGAGCCTTCTGTGATAGTTGCATATGAGTCCCTCAGTTGTCCTCAGTGTGAAAAGATGGATCTCAAAATCATACAGTCATTTTTGGAAAGGGTTCAAATACACAAAAATGCTGGAAAACCAAAGAATTTGTAGGACCTGAAGGATTTTTCTGTTGAACAGTGGGCAGTTTAACTGTTCAGGACAAACAAGGGACTCATGAACAACTATCACAAAAAAATAAAATAAAATAAAATAAATAAAAACAGCTGTGGATCCAGGTAACAACACAGTATTAAGAACCAAGCGTATATAAACTTTTGAATGGGGTCATTTTTATAAAGTCAACTATTATTTTCTCTTGTGGACTACATGTAATCATCTTTTATGTGAAATATTTTATTCAGGTCAGTACAAAATAAAAAATTGCATAATCTCAAATTGTGGATTAGCATTATAAATAAATAAGTGGTTATTATAATGTAATGTACATTATATACGTTTTTTGTTTTTAGTTATTATTTTTTTTTACTTTACATTAATTTTGGCAGCCCTAACTGAAACATTATCTTTATATTGTCCTCAAATTGTGGATTAGCATTATAAATAAATAAGTGGTTATTATAATGTAATGTACATTATATAAGTTTTTTGTTTTTAGTTATTAATTTTTTTACTTTACATTAATTTTGGCAGCCCTAACTGAAACATTATCTTTATATTGTCAATGCAAAACTTTCACTGTAAACATGAACATGGATTTTAGTCATGTGACTTTCTTTTTCCTAGGAAAAGCAGGGTTGTCTCCGGGTCAAGTAGCAGACTGCATGTTGGATGGTATACTGGACATGATAAGAAAAACTCCCCAGTCCACTCTCAAGCTGATCAGACTGGTTGTGTTCCAGGCCCAAATGCTCCCTGAATTCCACAAAAGCATGCAGAATCAAGAAACTGGACCTGCTAAACAAGAGCAGAGTACCTGGTCAAAGATCAAAGGTATGATGACATTCCACCTACATTTATAGAACATGAGTACCCTTTAAAACATTAATGAATAAAACAGAATAGTTCAGGAATACATTCTCATGAGGTCATTCACAACAAAGATATAAAACTGACTTTCTCCATTCCAATTTTATTTATTACACAGCATATGCCGCTAATGTTAAATCCTTCTTCACTGGATCTTGGGAGAAAGAAATAAAACAACATGGTGGCAAAGACTTTGTCATTGAAGGCGTGCAAGTAGATCCAGTATTTTTTTCTATCTGTGGACCATCACAAGCAGATGTGGACGAAACAAAGCGTTTCTTAGAGGGTATGATCGATCAGGAACAAGTGTTCGAGGCCATCACAGACACAGCGATACTTACCTTATCAGATAAAGACCAACAGCGAATCCAGGACCTGCAAAGCACTATAGATGTGACTATAAGGCTGGAATACAAAGCGAATAAAGGTTCAGAAGAAACCCCAGGACAGGCCACACTGATAATACAAGGTCTCAGCCGAGATGTTCTAAAAGCCATTCAGGAAATCCAAGACATGCTCAAAGCAGCCAAAGAGAAAGAGACACTGCAAAAAGAAATGGATTACACAAGTGAGCTTGTTGATTGGCAGTATGAACAAGGTGGGCAATTTAGGAATTTTGATCAACGTACAAATTTTGAGTTGGAAAAGGCCCTTGGTAAACAAGCTGCAGGCATCAGAATTTCCTTCCAAGGCCAAACTTACCAGGTCACACTGCCTGAGGGTCCAGCAGTGTGCACCACTGGTGGAAACCAGATGAAAATCAGACGCATTGACAAACTGAAAGGTATGTAAATGTAGTATCATTTATCAATAAGAAAAACAAAACAATAAATATATAAAAATGAATTAAAATTAATAAATGTATAAATTATTATACTGCACTGGAACTAATGGTGTAGATTTTACCATCATATTAAATAACTAGATGCTTTTCTCCATTAGCTACTGAAGATATTCCACAGTACTGGGATGGAATGGCACATAACGAGTTGTGCAGAAAGTTTAATTTGCAACCAACCAGCACAGAATACAAAGAGGTAAATGGCCTCTTCCAGGCCACTTGTCCTAGCAACAAAGTCTTGAAGGTATGTGTGCCATTTTATTGTATGGTATTGTATAGTATTTATTCATTAATTATTAGATAGTCTACAGGACTGAACATTGCTAACTAAATCAGCATATTAGAATGATTTCATGAAGGATCATGTGACAATTCAACTTTGCTTCACGGGATTAAATTATATTTTAAAGTATATTAACATAAAAAACATTATTTTAAATTGCAATATAATTTCAAAATATTAAACTTTTTCTGTATTTTTGATCAAATAAATGCAGACTTGATGAGCATAAGAAAATTCTTTAAAAAACATAAAAAATCTTACTGATCCCAAACTTTTGAAGAGCAGTATATATATATATATATATATTCTAGGGCTGTCAGTAAATTTGTAAATTTTGAGTTGAATCTCAAATTCTGGATTAGCATTAAAGGGTTAGTTCACCCAAAAATGAAAATTAGACTGTGTTTTACTTACGCTCGAAGCATCCTATATGTGACTTTCTCTCTTCTTTCAGA